TCCGCCGGGTAAACCGGCATCCGTTCCGCTCCGCTCCGGGGGAATCTTGTATTCTCCGCCGGGTAAACCGGCATCCGTTCCGCTCCGCTCCGGGGAAATCTTGTATTCTCCGCCGGGTAAATCGGCCTCCGTTCCGCTCCGCTCCGGGGGAATCTTGTATTCTCCGCCGGGTAAACCGGCTTGCGTTCCGCACCGGGGGAATCTTCCGATTCTCCGCCAGGTACACCGGCATCCGCTCCGCTCCGGGAGAATCTTCCGATTCTCCGTCAGGCCGACCGAATAAAACCGTGACTTTCTCGCCTACCGTTCCGAGAAGCACCGCACGGTTAAGTCTTCGATCTACGGTATCATTTGCATTGCATTTCGTTATTTTTGTATATATTCCTCTCCGGAGGACCGAACGAACCGACCGAACACGTGACTGTCTCACGCATGATTCCGAGAAGCACAGTGTCGTAGATTCTTCCGTTTATTCAGCTATTTTCTTTTTTTGTATATATTATTTGTTTAATTCTATTTTTTTTACTTGAATAAACCTTATTCAATTTTGTTACTTGAAACTACCGAGTCCACTCATTTTCTTACCTGTTCCTGGAATCCGACGAGTTACTCCGCACAATTAAAAGATATAAAACAACGGAATATTTTCTCCCGAAAAGTAGAACCGTTACACATTGAATAAATATTTTGTATTTAAACAATATAATAGATTGTAACTTATCACTAACACTTTATAAAACTATTAATTATTTAACATATTTTCTCACAGAACACTGAATGATATTGCATGGTATCAATTTTTTTTGTTATATTATATAAAGTCTTATACTTAGATACTTCGGCTTTATTTAACATGTAAGTTATATATTTATATTAATGCAATACTTAAATATACATATACGTAAACGCCGGCGCATTATATAAATAATGTATTTTAATGAAAAAATGAATTTATTTTATGATTAACACTTCGTGAACTATTCAATATTAAAATTTGAAAAGTATATTTCCGATTATAGCTATAATATTATGAGTCTTTTTTGTTATTATAAAAGAAATCTTATTTAAACAAAAAAACAAAATTTAAACACATTGAATCAATAGACTTCTTCAACTACAATACATTTTTATGTAAATACACAAAATACATTATCTTTAAAAGAAAGCTTATTTACTCATGTGTGTAATTAAAAACATACTGTAGATTCAAACAACCCAGACGGCACATGATATCATTTGATTGTAGAATGATATCGTTTTTACGTTATTTTCGTGATATCATGAGATATTACATCCCTGAAATATCACACAGATATTCTTCTAAGAATATTAGTACTGTTTTTTTTCAAGTATATCTCAAAGATATCGCTTAATGTATAGGAACTTTGAATGCAGTGTATTACACTCCCGTGATATTTTTATGATATTTTTGAAATATTTATTGATGATCAAAGAACAAATGAATTTTGGCTATTGAATCAATAACACTGTTGTTGGAGTGTATATATTTAAATTCGTTTATTAACAATTAAATAGCATAAACGCTTTCGACCTTGTATTAGGTCCTTTTCAAATGGATTTACATTTCTTAGATAAAATACGTCGCTCAATGCTGATCGAGAATATCCGCACTAGCCATCCCGACCAACACTTTACAAGGGTGAAATCGCGACTCAGTCACCCTTGTAAAGTGTTGGTCGGGATGGCTAGTGCGGATATTCTCGATCA